TGGTACCAGTAGCAAAAGAGGAAAAAATGGTCAAACAAAAGACCAAAAATGGAAAGTTAGCCCTAAAATTGTCAAAATTTGACTAAACTAACTATAAATAACTGTTGTTGTATGCAGTGTTGTACCTCATATATCGGTCCCAGGATATTAGAAAGACAAGGTGGGTGAGGTAATATCTTCTACTGGACCTCTTTCATCAACAGAAGTTGGTCCAATAAAAGATATTACCTCACTCACCTTGTCTCTAAAACAAACTACTAATTTACAACTATATACAAAGAAAAGCGAGGGAAGTACTGAATTAATCAGTCTGGAATTGCTCTGACAACTATCACTGGTGATAAGAAGGAACCGAGGGGGGCCAGAGGTGGCTCCCTCTTATATCAGCACACAGTGGCACACGGTGACAGAGGGCAGTTGAGCCACCCCAATGGGTACCACTGAGGGAAAAAATCTCTGACATCCGTGCATAGAGCACACACATACCTACAGTGGAACTGACATGTGCAAACACTCGAAGAAGAGCTAAAAGGTACCTAGTTTGTGTTAAAAGTGTCATGGGAGCTTTAATTACAAACAGCCAAGGCCTCAATTTTACTATCTTAAAGTACTTTGGAAGGTAAATGGTAACTTAATTTGTGAATTGTGATGCAATTTAAAATAGCTTAGAACCTTACAAATCTGCAAGAGAAAAAACAATTTCAGTTCATATGCCGTAACATTCTGATTTAATCTGTAAATTTCCTGATGTTAAATGCTACAATGCAGTAATGCAAGGGAAAAATGCCCTTAATCTCTAACAGCCATGCCATCTGTTTCAGTAACAAACCCCAGCTTTAATTGTGTAAAGGTTCAAATACCCACAGATGGTTGAAGAAGTGGTTGTTCAAACCAGGGCCATGTATCTCCTGTGTCAATGTCATTTAACTCATGAGTGCTGAGTGCTATGTTATTTTGGTATTAAAGGACTAAAAAGCTATGGTATATTTTAAAAGCTGTGACAATCTAATGAGTAAGGACTCAGTTTAACAAAGCACATAAGTATTTATGAGTACAGTATAAGCTACAGTAACTCCTCACTTAAAGTCATCCCGGTTAACATTGTTTCGTTGTTGCGTTGTGATCAATTAGAGAACACGCTCTTTTAAAGTTGTGCAATGCTCCCTTATAATGTTGTTTGGCAGCCACCTGCTTTGTCCATTGCTTGCAGAAAGAGCAGCCCGTTGGAGCTAGCTGGTGGGGACTTGGAACCAGGGTGGACCGGCAGACCCCCCCCCACATCAGCTCCCCGCTCCCCTAAGTTCCCTGTGCGGCAGCCTCCCGCAGGCTATCAATTGCCAGGCAGCTCAGCTGTCCCTCCCTCCACTGCCATGTGCTGCTCCTGCCTTCTGCCTTGGAGCTGCTCATGGGAGCCTCCTGCTTGCTGTACATGGCAGGGGGAAGAGGGAGTCTAATGTCAAGGTGTCCCCCTCCCCCCTGTTCCTGGCCCCTGCTTACCCCATCTCCATAGAGCAGGGGGGAGACACTACAGGGCTCAGGATGGCGGGAGCTTGCTGGCATCAGGGGCTGTCTCAACTTGCTGATCTACTTAAAAAGGCAATGTACTTAGAGTGGGGTCAGTGTACTTAAAGGGGCAATGCACATCTCTCTCTCTCTCTCATACACAGGTGAGAGTCTCTGTCTGCCATGCTGTCTCCCCTCCCTCCATTTGTGCTGCCTTGAGAGTGTGAGGCTACATTAACAACAATATGTTAACCCTTGAGGGCTCAGCTGTTCTAGTTCATCATTTAGCAGTAAGGCATTCCCTGGGAAATATCCCACCCTCTTTCACCCTCTGACTTCACCACCTCAACCAAGCTTCACAATCCTCATTGCTGTGTACAGTAGTAAATTGTTTGTTTAAAGCTTATACTGTGTGTATACATGTCTTTTGTCTGATGAAAAAAAATTTCCTGGAACCTAACCCCCCCATTTACATTAATTCTTATGGGGAAATTGGGTTCGCTTAACATCGTTTCGCTTAAAGTCGCATTTTTCAGGAACATAACTACAACGTTAAGTGAGTTACTGTATTTTATTAGAAATTTTCTTCATAGATGCAGTAATGCAAATTCTAGTGCATTTTAGGCCTACAAAATAGATTGGGTAATAGAAGACTCTGCAGCAGAGCAATGTCAAGAGACATTGTTGGTAAACTGAAATCTACAAATCTTTTTATTTCCATAGAACATCTCAGCACTTAAATAGTTGTTAGGGATTGAGGAACTTGGAACAAAACATCCTTGTCTTACAAAATTTTTTAAATGATTTCAAAACACCATTTGGGTGTCAATATCTATTCAAACAGAACTTCTTTCCCTGAAAACAATTTATTCTTTCATTATAGTAAATGCCTCCCCTGAGCTTTCTGAATATTTGAGAATAATGACCTTCCTCCTTTTACTTTAAAAGTATCCTTTTAAAGCCAAAATTTAATTTTAAAAGTGTGTTTATCTTTTATTTAAGTCTGAGGGCTTGACTCATGGTACCTGCAACTGGAATAACTAAATCAGTTTTAATTTACATTTTAGTTAGTTATTTTGTGTGGGAAACATACTTTAGAATAAAAGTGCTATATTTCAATGGAACTTGTATTCATTTTTTGCCAACTTAAATTTCACTGAAATAAGACAAATTTAGTCAGAAATAAAAGTGTGCACACAAAAACATGCAATGAAATAGCAAAAGGTGTGAATTTACAGCTGATTGAGCTATTCTGGTTGCAGTTAGCACGTAAACAAGACCTTAGAGAACCTTGGAGAACATATTGGGTGAAATACTGATCTTACTGAAGTCAATGGGAGTTTTCCTATTGACTTCAATTGGACCAGGAGTTCACCAATTGTATGTGTGGAATGCTCTCTCTAGTGGATTATCCTTTTGATCCATTGTCTATGTTTCATAATCCTTTTATTTACAAAAAACATGTATAAATTCTGGGTGTTAAACATGCAATACCCAGTGACTCTATTATAAGGAATACATACAGGAGCGCAAGTTGCATTTTTAAGTAAGCCTCTCAGAGTTTTGAAAACCGTCTTGAAGATAATGGCTCCTAACGCTATAAATTCAGAAAGGTAGTCCATATTTATTTTTTATATCTCAGTAGGATTAATGCTATGAAATTATGAAAATAACACTGAGCTGTTTCAAATTAACTGACAAACAACTTTAAAACTGGCATACTAAAACACATGATTATGTATATTTCAGGAATGAATTACTATGCTCTGTTAACATGTTGGGATTCTGATGTCAAATGTTTCTATATCTTTTATTAGGGATAGATCTTAAAATAAAACAAGAATAAATATTTCTGTTTCTAGATTTCTTGATAAAAATTATTTTAAAATTTATGAACATTTTCCGTTAATCCACTTCTGCTAATGAAGCCAACAATTATAAAATGACACTTAAAATGTGTTAAGTATGAAGATGTGGGAAAGAATGACTGTCTTTTAATAATTTACAAAAATACTAAATTATGAATGTACATCTGACTTTAAATAAACCCTCTGAGAAGTCATATCGCAATCTACAGACATCAGCTAAAGAATTTCAGTGTGCTACCTACAAAATTAACAATATAAAGTATTTCAAAAATGGTCATTTGTTCTGGTTACCAATGTCCGCCATTTAACATTAGCAATACTGCCCAATTATAGGATCCCCACCAAGGCATTAATCTTCATAAGTATCTTATTAGAGAACGGGGGGTGCTCATGTATTCAATTACAAAATCATCTGCTCAATCCACTGATCACCATTTTTAGTACCCTATGTTTAAGAACAAAAGAAGATTATTTGATAGAGTTTTGCATTTTTTTAAACTACTAAAACTGAATCATGTTCTTCACTGTTTTGGAGAAAATATGATCAACACTTCTGCATTTGATTTCCCTCAGGTTATTTTTAATTTTATACATCTATATACCAGCTGATGTTTAGATTTAGACTGAGCAGCCAATGAGGTACAACACTAGTAGCCAGCAAGGCTTTGTATTACACTGGCTACCAGCATGGTACATAACTGGTTACTCCAGAGATGGAGAGCTTTAAAAACACTACAGTAGAGAGCAATATAAGGGCTATACTATAACTATATTAAGTAACTGAAATAATTGATCATAAAGAAGACAGAAAACTTCAGATTCCTAATGTTATTTTCACTGTATGTGTCAATTAAATATTAAATATTTCACATTCTTAATATAGTTAGATGGGGGATGGATATTTGTTATTTTTGGCCCTTAATAACATTAATTTTAAAAATTTACTAAGCAGACCCTCTGCTCAAATTGTAATTAGAACGCTTTCTCTGCAACTAAACATACAAAACATGACTTTAAGAAATCATAGAAGGAAGGCATATTTATTTGCATGGGGTTTAAGAACATGGTTGGGTCAGGTGACCCTGTTAGGAGTAACGGTCATATAGACCAAACTTCATTATATATATGTCCTGCTGCTGTAATCAAGATGTGAGATGAGGAGGATCTGGATCAGCCTTATCAGTAAACATTTTCTTTTGAAAAAATTAAGTTTTTATTTTAAAAACCGGTTTATATTCTTTCCCATCTTTAGTATTATAGCTATCACAAAATAAAATGGCAGCAGCATTGGAAGAATACACAAAGGGAGAACTCATTTTTATCTTGAAATATTGTTACTTAGCATCATAATATTGCACAAAAGCAGTAGTATGATTTCTTGCTGTTCCTTTTGAGGAGCAGAAGGGGAAAGGGTCTCTTCTCACATATGAAATCTGACAAATATCCAAAACCTTGCTCTGCATTCATATGTATTTGGATATTCTGAATGTTATTTTTGTTGAATACTGTTCGGGAAACAAACAAATTGTTCTGCACAAAGAAATTATGCCTATATAAAGCCAGTTTTCAACTCAGACTTCATACAATTTACATTCTGCCAGAGAGTAACACACATGTACAATTACCTACCTCTTTCTGATCAAGCTGTAAAGAGGATTTTATCAAGTCTCGGAGTGCAGTAAGCTGTTTCTTTTCTTCATCTTGTGTCTGCTTTATCTGTGGAAGGAAAAATTACTGGTATTATTTCCTTTTCTAAAAGCAACTTTTACCTTCAAAGTTTTAATTCACCAAATTCAGCACTGTGATGGGGTATATTTGGCCTTCATGGCCCCTGCTGGAGGCCCCGCTGCTCTGCTACACTTGCCCCAGGAAGCACTGAGATAGAAGAAGTGGAGCAAAGAGGGGTCCTCCAAGCCTTTCTGATAAGGCCTCACTGAAGCAGCCATGTTGGAAACTAAAGAAACCTGGTCCCCCAAGGTCTAAAAGGGGTAGGGACAGCCAACCCAATCAGAGCCCTCAGGCTCAGATTACAGGAGCGGCAGGGCCTTAGCAGGTCATCCTGGCTGAAACCAGAGGAGTGAGGAAGAGTGCTCCTCTATGGCTTGGAAATAGAAAAGAACCTAAGGACACTGGCCCTGAAATAGGGCTGGAGATAAAAAGGGTCTGGTAGGAAGAGGACCAGAGAAATAGCAACGGATTAAAGTAAGCAGAAAGTGGCTGCTGTGTATAGGGTTCCTGGGTTGGAACTCAGAATAGTGGCTGGGCCTGGGTTCCCCTACCAGCCACAGCTAAAGTATAAATCCCAAGAAGGGAACAGGCTTTATTTGGGAGTCTGAACAAACAGCCCAATTTAAAGTGCCCAGAGCCAGGGCTGAAGACCTTAGCGAGGGCAAACAGACTGTTTAGTTATTGGGCTCTAATACCCCAGAAAGGGTTCATTCAGACTTTGTGACTGGGTTGGAAAGCCAAGCCACTGAAGGAAGACCCAATAAGGTTGGCCAGAAGCCTGCAGGGAGCACCAGAGATAAGCAAAGGACTGTGATAGCACACCCCGCCACTCAGAGCTGTTACAGTCACCCATGAAAATTGAACATGTAGTAGTCTGCTCCTTATGTATTTATCCTCTATACACATATACCTCAAAAGCAAGCCAAAGTGAATGTATATTGAGAAATAGCCTCTTCAGTCTCCGCAAATGGACAGCATGTACTTTCTTGCCATATGTTAATGGTTCATTATAATGAACACAACCAAATTAGTCTCTGAAGTCTTAATATTTCAAATAAGCTTGACAGCTGGTTTATAACTGGACTGGAAATGGAAATAGTTTCATTCAACCACATACATACAGTCTGGGAGCATGTGTAATTCTGAGGGCAGAGGTAAGGGTGATGTCATCTGATTTGTAAAAGTCTACAGAATCTCAGTTTCAATAATGTAAACTTCTGCAGCATGATAGAAGGGAATCGCTGCTATCCTGGCTCTCAGGTCGAGGTCCGCCAGTTGGTACAAATTTTGATAATACAGTGTTGTTGGAAATAGGTTGAGCTGGGTATAATTCAAAAGCCCTTTCTCCCACAAAAATGGTACCAAATATGACAAATCCTAGAACAATTATGTAAATATATATTTAAGAAAATGTTTTAAAATATATTTTTTTAAAATTATACTTTAACAAAGGCATGTCAAAGATGCAGTCCTCACGAAATTAAATTGTGGCCTTTGACTGACAGTACTGTGTTATCAGTTAATGTCCAGAACATACCTGCTAAATTTTTTTAAGGTTACAGATTACTCTAAATGGAAGGAGAGCTTCAAGTTGATTTGCCATCATCAACAAAACAAGAAGTGGTTCCGTGGTATTGATTATCAGCTTTATTTATTATGCCAAAAGAGTTGTAATGAGGCACTGGTTAAGACGTCAGCATCCAGCCAGAAATTACTGGAATTCATCTGCAAACGGTATGCATGTAGTTACATAACGTATATTATATAACATAATTAATTACAATCCCAAAGTAATTTATTACAAAATCTTTATTTTTACTTTGGTCTTGATCCTCTTTAGGCATTAATGGGGAGACAAAGAGTACTGACTAATAGCTGAATCTTTGGAGAATATAACTGTGGAGGATCTGGTTAAACACAATGCTTGGTGGCACTTTAAATGCACCCATAACCTGAATTTAGCAAGACTGGAGAGGAAGTACATTGAGCATCAGGAAAAAGTTGAAGATGCTGGGATATGTGCCAACTGTGGGCAAGACTCACCTTATACTAGTTCCCGTGGCACATGCTTCGAGAACACTGCTTCTTTCTCTGGTAAGCTGGAAGCCCAATGGCATCCATTAAGTATAGTTTCAACACATGACACAACTGAGAAACTATATGAAGTAGTCACCCTTAGCGAGAACATTCCCTGGAAAATAAAGTTAAGTGGCTGCATTGATCCAAAAGACACCCACACATGGAACACTGCCTATCACATCGACTATGCTAAGAATGTATGTAATGTGTTGCATCAAAAGCAACAGAAACAAATACTGGTTTTACCACTGCAAACTGTACAACTCAACTGGAGTTCACTAATTGCCTCGCAGAGGCTCTAATGAATGGGAAAGTGGTGGCGATGGCTGATGCAGAAGCTAAATAGAGAGAAATATGTGCTTTGAACGGGATTGAAGAGGAACAAATATTTAGCAGAAAGGCTCTTAGAGCACTTATTGAAGATGAACTGTGGGCTACGGACACTGCTTTTTGCAATCCTATCCACAGAAATGAATCTCAGCACATATCCTTAAAAGCTGCAAAAGAAGTGGTACTATAAAAAGCAGGAAAAAAGAGCTGATTTCAACGGTAATATGAAGACTCTGCAGCTGCTAAAATTTTACAAAAAAGCATTTTGTCTGCATGCAGTATGTTGGAGTTTCAGGGACCCATAGACGATGCCAAACCTGAATAAGAGGTATACAAAAGTCTGACCCTGACATATGGGAGAAATTTTGAAAAGGAAATTTGGTTGTTAGAAGGTTGCCTCTTGGCCACTTCTGTCCGCATGGGTCACATGATGCCCTAAAACAAGAAAACAGAGCTATGAAAGTTGTTGGGGGTTGGTGGGCATAACAGTCTCCAAATGCTCTTTCCTGTTTTCCTGACAATCCCAGAACTCCATCGAATTTAAAACGAAACATTAAGCATGGCTGAGATGACTCCCCAGAAGTAACCAAACATCATCTAGACTCATTAGGTGCTGTTAAATGTCAAGAAAGGTCAATTTTAAAGCTACAGGATGATCTTACTCTCACTGAAAACCGATTTGCATATGACAGACCGGAGCTCATTAATATCAAGTCTTCAGTGATGAGATTACTAAAGATGTCAGTCGAATGAATACTCTGGGTCATGACTTGTATGAAGCCTTCAAAACCCAAAGAATTATCCAAGGCTTCATCAGTCCATCGACTCCAATCAAGAAGAATAGACTAAATCTGTCCTCAAATGTAAAGAAGAAAATCAGAGTGAAGTTGGCAGGGACTATTATGGAGCTAAACACAGACAGGTCATGTTGTGTCCAGGTCTCAGCCTGATACTGATCTATGTGAGACTTTGGGAAAGTATGAGTTCTCCGTGGTACCACGACTGATGATTGAATGCAAAGGAACAATGCATACGTGCCAGGCGAAAAGCAAACTAATGCACAACTTGCATGGTCTTTCTAAGCAACACCTACTGACAACATGACTGGTGCCTTATGCCAGCAAAAGTATCCATCAGCATAGCAATGGTAGATGGTATGGCTGAGGTACAAGCTCTCGACAAACCAGAAACTGTTAACACCTGCTGAAGTTTGACCGAACACTTCATTATCAGGCCACAGAGAAAATACTGGACCAATGATGAAGTCCACTTCATGTTTGACACGTATGAAAGGAATCAATTACAAACATTACCAGAAAAAGAGGTTCCATGGTACAACATGTGTCCAATTAAAAATCATCGATTCCACAAACATCTCCAACATCACAATGAAGAAGCAACGGTCTCATACTCACACGAAGGACAAGTTAACCACATACCTTGCAGGAAAATGCTCCAGCATGTGAAGAATTACTCACAGAATTTAGTTGCCTCATGGCATAACGAAGCTGATGCCTCACACTGTTCAGTGGAATTTCTTTGTAGTTCAATGAGGATGACGACACTAAAATTATCTTGCATGCCATCAATGCAACAGAGAGGTACTACTAAACTTCAGATTTTTGCACAATACACAGATTTTCTAGTGCTCTCTGTGAGAAGGTACCCAATATTTCTACAAGAGTCTATTTTTATGCATGCTGCTGGGAAACTGAATCACAGTATATCTCTCCAAGATGCGTTCCTATCACTCGGAACATTAAAAGCTGGCGCGCTGCCAGCATTCATATGCTGAGTTTACCATTTCAAGACCAAGATTATGACACTTGCAGAGCTAAGTTGGTGGATATTGTCTAAGAAGCAGAAAGAGAAAAGTTGCCACTGACAAGTGGTACATTTATACCTGCTACCAAAAGGGAAAACTATCAAGTAATTAAATGGTTTCGGGATGATCAAGTGCATCCAAAACTACCTTCCCCTATTGGGCATGGATGGGTCTTGGAGGAGGGACTGATCACATCAGTTAAGTATGAAATACCATGCATTCTTGAATCAATCCTTCAGCTAATCAAATGCCTGTATGCAACGACCAGATGCTCAGCACCCTGCAAATGTTTGGCCAGCAGCCTGCCTGGCATAGAGATGTGTGAGTATGGCATGTACAAGGATCAGTGTGACCACACAGCTAGCAATGAGGCCCTAGACAAGGACAACACTGATGAGGAATGCATGTTTTCAGTCCAACATGTCCAGGCTAGCTTCTCTAGAATTACCAATGATTAACGTCCTTTTTATGTAAGCAATACATCCCTGTGTTGAAGTATAATTAAAATATGTTGGGTTTTAAACATTTTCTCAAATACATATCTACATATGTATGTCATGTTTGGCATCATTGTGTTTGTGGGAGAAAGGGCTTTTGAACGATACCCAACTTGACCCATTTCCAATGACACTTATCAAATTTCACCAACTGGAGGATCTGGGAGCAGAAGTAAGTCTCCCCCCCACACCATTACACCACAGAAGGTGACACCACTGAAATTATGATTCTGTAGATTTTTATGAATCAAATGACACCTTCCTTACTTTTGTATCATTAACTTGCTCCCAGAATGAGATTTTAACATATTATGCCCCCAGACGAATAAACTACAAAAGCAAACGGGATTACCAGGGGTATGTCTACACAACAAAAACAAACAAACCAATCAACCAAGCTGCAGCAGTGAGTCAGAGTGTTGATCAACTGACTGGGGCTTGCAGGGCTCATGCTACAGGGCTAACAATAGTAGTGTAAATGTTCCTGTTCATTCTGGAGCTCAGACTCGGATACCCTCCTCCCTTGCTGGGCTTCGGAGCCCGTACTCTCACCCTAGCAGGAATATCTACATTGCTATTTTTAGTCCCATAGTGAGAGCCCATGAGCCGAAGTCAATTGCCCAATGCTCTGAGACATATTGCCACGGGGTTTTTTATGCCATGTACATGTACCTTATGACTTCAGATTGTGAAATACAAAATTGCATTGGTGACACTGAGCTCTAATTCTGTATCACTTTTTGCCTCCCAATCAGCAATCATAATTTGCAATATTAGTATTTGAGAGATTACAGAACTATACAATTCACTCATCAAAAGCTGTGTTGTACACAATTCCAAATTAAGTCTGTATTATCAAACAGTCCATTATGAAAACCAGACTCAGATAAAATTTGTGCTATATTAGTGAATATCTGATGCAAGGATACCCATCCAGTACTATCCACATGGTACAATACTCGAAACCTCTATTTGCAGCTGAATAGATAACTTCTTCCTCTCAAAATAAATCATGGTATAACTTCCAGAATGCAAAGGTTTTGGGGAACAGTTAATACCATCTAACAACTAAGATAGCTTGTCCCAGAATTTTAGTTACGGTTGATGCTTGAAGGAATACTTGTTTATTTTTACAGTGTAAATGTGAAGTTAGATTATACTTTTAGCTATTTAGCTATTTTAGTTTACTGATAGCACTTAGGAAAATGTTTTTGATTGTTCATCTGAATTCAGTCCATTTTCAGACATTACACTACCTCAAACTACTTACATTATATAAGTCAGCAGCCAACTTTTCAATATACTGTTTCAATTTATCAGCAGTTTTCAAGCCATCTTGGAAGAAACTACAATGGAAAATACTTGTGATTTATCAGCAATACATGAACTTCTTGTATCAAAAATAATTGAACTTTACATTGAAAATTATACACAACTTACACCCACTCCTCCCTCACACAGAAACAAAAAATATTCCTATTTCATAAATTACTTTACATTACCAGTTGTCTGAAACCATCTGATGGAATATAGTTTCCATATAGCTCTAATTTTAAAGCACTTTAAAGATCTGAATGTTATATTTTAATTCTTTACAAATATCCCTTGCTGGGTGAATATACAGTATGCCTAAATACATGTTATTTTACAATTGAGTATCAGAGGGGTAGCCGTGTTAGTCTGGATCTGTAAAAAGCAACAGAGAGTTCTGTGGCACCTTTAAGACTAACAGATATATTGGAGCATAAGCTTTCATGGGTGAATGCCCACTTTGTCGGATGCATCCCCACGAAAGCTTATGCTCCAATACATCTGTTAGTCTTAAAGGTGCCACAGAACTCTCTGTTGCTTTTTACAATTGAGTTAATCTTGAAACTGCTTTTGCATACAATTTTGATTTGGTTTTAGCATTTCAGACTTTAGAGTATACAGTGGTGTCATGTAAAAAGCAAGTTCACACAGTACACACACTGCAAAAGCCTACACGTATGAGTCTCATAAAACTCTGCAAACGTCATACACATTCACCCAAACTGCATTGCTGGATTCATCAACTGACAGCTAGACATAGGACATACAAACCACTGTAGATAAATGCAATTTTAATCTCTGTCAACTAAGTATTTATTTTAAATGGAAAGCTCTGGGAAACAGTCCCTAATCTATCCACCAGAGAGACAAGCTCTTAATTAGTGTATTTCTCTCAAGATGTCAATGGCACACTCTCCCTTTCTACTTCTGTCAGAAGAGATTTAACATTGACTTTTACCCCTAGATACCAACATCAATAGAGATAAATTTAATTGTTCTATTTTATTACTGCTAGTAAACATTTTTCTCTTAAGCAATTCCCATAATCTCTCTCTCTCTCTATCATAGCTGCACATGAGAGCTCTCTCATCTTGTGCATCAATTCAAGACAAAAGCGTCTTAAAGTCTAGTTTTGGTAAGTCTGCCTCTGTGCTCCCATCTGTAAAAACTGATATAATTTACCACTTATCTACCTATCTCACATGGATGCTGAGTGAATTACTTGTTTGTAAAAGGATTTTAAAGATTAAAAGTGCTATGTAAATATTAATTATTATTATGTAGATGTAAGCAAGTTACCTGTTCATTACATTCCAGCTCCATCTGCTTTGAGAGTTAAAATCTGCTTCCTACCCAGCACTAGAGGGTTATGCTGCCTTTTCACTAGACCTACCTCTCTCTCTGGTTCTCTCTTTTCTTTTTGAAGGAAGCAGTTCTTTACTCGCCTGTGGAATCTCTATTTAGGTTGGTCACATTGTAGTCACCATCTTTCCACTTGGAGGAGGACTAGAGAGAGCCGTATTTGGACCAGTCAAAGCTATTCCCTAATTAACCTGATGGATCACTGTTGAGCAATAGAAAAAATACCCTAAACCCTCTCACTCCCACAGAGTGAGAAACTCGGAACAGAAATGAAAGATATAAATTTGATATGGCCTTACAAAACACTATCTTCAAGCTCTTTTACTAGTAAAAATTATGGATATACATAAGAGAGATAGCATGTATTCTACTGCAGTCCAGTCACTTTACCCTAGTGATATTAAATGGAATACTTCACAGTTATGCTGAAAATTTCTGATGCCAATAAAACAAAAACAAAAAGAAAACACAGAAGTAAAATCTGTGAGAAGGGCCACTGCTGAAGTATTTCAACATTCTTTCTGAAAAACCGAATATTCACTGTAAAAATGTGCCTCGTTTTTTAAATAGTTACATTGAATAATTCAGTAATTCATTGCTTAAAATCAAATATAAAAGATTTTGTATTTGTACAGGTTCCATCTTAAGATAATCTGGTGGCAGTTTCAGTTGTATTCAAAAGTTATTTTACTGTTGGTATGATTCAAGCAAATTCACGAAGAACTGAAGCAATGACACTAAGAACCACTATAATCCAAACTATGTTTAGATGGTTAACTTTTCACTACAGTGCTTCAAACAGTTCGGGGACTAAAAAATGATAGCAGGTTACACCTCAGTTTACTAAAAATATTGCAGAATACAACAAAGTAAAGATAAAACAACAAGGAAAGCTGCTGCTCTAGATTCCTTGTGCATTCCAGGTACATAAGCATATTACTTTGCCCCCATTAAGACTAGTTAATCTATTTTTTAAAAATTGAATTATATTGATGTTTTAAAATCAAATTCAATGGGACGAGGATTTGGCTCTCAATTCATAGACAGCACTGATCATAAAGTATTCAAAATGGCTCAATTTAACAGTCTGCTTGGAATAGACATTACCTGGACTTGAGTCAAAGCTAGGCAATGTTCACATTTCTGTTGTCAGATTTATTCTGCAGGAAAGTCTCAAATGCTTCAATGATCCACCATCAAAAGACAGACACCATCAAGACAATGTAGCAAAAGGAGGCAGAGAAACACATTTGTTTAACTGAAATATTGGATTTAATGATCTAAAGCGTTATACTTACTTGCACTGTGCATGATAATACTTAATAAGATTCTGTAGAAGGTCCACCCCTTTTTTTGTCTTGATTTCATTAACCTTAATGAGATACTGCAGAAATAAAAACAGAACTTGCTGATGATATTTGTATGTTAGATCTTCAGCTATGTTCAAACAGGAGAGCTTCTGTCTCCAGTCTGTTCAACTAATTCGATAATGATCTCTGTGGTTACCTTGTTGCTGATTTACAGAACATTGAACCACACAATGATTAAAACCTGAATATACAAAATAAATTAGTATATTTTTAGAACTCCCAAATGAACTAATTTAACAATTTCTAATACAAGTTTGCCATTTGCAGGAATTTTTTTCCCTCTCAAATTGTAGGAAGACATGCCTTTTCGTGACATCACAATTAGTGCATTCCTTCAAAATAAGAATGTTATCAAATTCTAATTGATTGCTCCTCAAATTAAATATAAAGAGAACTATTTTAAAAGTTACTAGTACATATTTTAGAAGCAATCATCATCAATTAATATTGATTGAACTAACATGTCAGTTTAACAGGCATCACCAGATTCTCAACCAAATATTTCCTAATTTTACAAACAATATATCAGAAAAGACATCCTGAACAGCAATCCTTTGCACCTAAAGACCAAGAAAGCTATTTTGCTTACTATGCTTTCTTTAGCCCAAGATCCTTACTCTAACAATCTAAACAGAGGACTGAAACTCAAAATGAGATGATGGCGAAGCTATGTCTTGCATAGGATTTCCAGAACAAGAATCTTTAATATAGTTCAGCCACTTGACAGCCAAATGCATTTTCCAATTCCACCACCAAGAGAATTTCATCACCCCTCTTTAATAGGATCAATAGGACACTTCTATTAAATATGTCACATAATTAAATGGTGAAAGTTGTTTCTTACTTCGCACATCTGCAGCTGAAATAGTCGCCTTTCCTTCTCCATTTCTTCTGCTATCTCAGCTCCTGTTATCTCTGTTCTTATCATCCCGTGCTGTTTTGCATGTTCTCTTTTTTCCTTTTCAATTTTTGTGCTGCAATTATAGTTAAAATAGATTTCAGGAAACTTATTTCACTGTCATGAGATCTAGTACTTTTACTAAAACATACATTGTATAACATCATGATGGCAAAAGAGCCACTCCGTAAATACACACTCTCCCATATTTTTAATCTCTACATATTTGAACAAGTTCCCTCAATACTATCTTGTGATTTGAGAAAACTGACTTGCAGATGAAATGCTGAGATCACTATTAAGTGAGCCATCAATGAACTGAATGAGAGACCAGAAGACTGAGGTGTAATAGATACTCCAAAATGTCCTGAATGCATTCCAGCATTGGCTGAATTCTCCACTTGGCCCAATAAGCTGTAATAATAGAAGGCTTCCTAATGTTAAGCAACATCTGTCAAACAGCTTCTGAACATTGTTGCTCCCTCCTCATCTAGTCATGCAACATCGACACCATGAGATGCAGAGCACTAACTTGACCGTGGTGCTGAGTCAGTAGGTCGGGATGAAGAGGAAGTAATATGGAAGGCTGAACCAACAGAACTGAGAAGGTCAGACAACCAACATTGCTTCAGCCAAGCTGGAGCAAGGAGAATCATTTTGACATGATCCAACTTCAGCTTTAGAATGACCTTTGTGGTGACTGGGATTGGGGAGGAGGGGAAGCATACATCAAAGCTAATCCCTAATTGAAGTGGAAGGGGTCCGTTTGGGAGCCTGGGATGAGACCTGCTTGAGAACAAAATCGATGGCACTTCTTGTTGTCTCTTGTTACAGTAAGATCAACAGTCAGAATGCCCCATTCTGCAAAGATGGACCTCGGCACACAGAGGTTGCTTCAGAGACCACTCATGATCCTGGGAGAAATTTCTACTGTGGTAGATCTGCCAGTTGGGTATGGCATGACAGATACGTTGCTTCAGTTTTCAGTAAGGATAATGAGGAGTTTGGGGGTAGCGGCTAATAGGAATGAGAATAAGGAAGCAGCAATTACCACATCCGGAATGGAAGCCAAACTCAAACACCTTAATGGGACCAAATGAAGGTGCCCAGATAATCTCCATCCAAGAATATTAAAGGAACTGGCATATGACTGGAGAATTTGCAAATACAGTGCCTATATTTAAGAAAGAAAAACATAATGGTCTGGGAAACTACAGGCCCATTGATTTGACCTCCATTGTATACAAGGTCTTAGAACAAATTTTGAAAGAGAGAGTGATTAAAGATACAGAGGTAAGTGATAATTGAGAAAAAATTCAACAAAAGGTAGATCGTGCCAGACCAACCTGATCTTTCTTTAAGAAGATGACAGATTTTCTAGACAAAGGAAATTCAGTAGCTCTAACCTCCCTAGATTTCAGTAAAGCATTCGATACAATTCCATATGGGAAATTATTAGTTAAACTGTAGACAACGGGGATTATAATATGAGAATCGAAAGGTGGGTAAGGAATTGGTTAGAGGTGAGACTACAACAAGCCATATTGAAATATCAGCCTGGAGGGAGATTATTAGTGGAGTTCCTCAGGGATCCGTCTTGGGACCTGTGACAGAATCCCCAAGGTACAACCTGGAACTGGGGTACCGCAGTGCCCCCTTAACTCTCCAGCCTGGGCTGTCTCTCACAATACTTTGCTAGTGACAAGCAGAAAACCCCTCTACGTGCTGTTATCACTCAGCAAAACAACGTGTGTAGCCCCACACCCAGCTAGATTGCATGAATGCTCCCAGAGCCATTCATGAATCACACAGAGAAAAGGACTAGCAAATCTCCCAAGCCCACAGCATTGCACCCTAGACTGTATTGTCTTGCCCTGGTCAGATGCCTGACCAGTATAAGTTTATTACCCAGTCTGCCCCTCCCTTGATGTGGAGAGGACACACACTAGCTTTTGTCACCTGAGTTGAAGTTTCCCAAGCACTTCAACTAAAACACACTGTTTTGGGTAAAATATAAAATAGATTTATTAACTACAGAATGATAGATTTTAAGTGATTATAAGTAGCGGGCACAAAAGGTCAGAGATATTTACCAAAGAAAATAAAAGGTAAGCGCAGAGTCTAAATCTTAAACCTTATTAGACTAGGCAGTATTTGGATCCAGCAGTTTTCTCACCCCACTGGATGTTACAGTTCTTAATACACAGGCTTTCCCTTTTAAGCCCGGGACTAGTCTCCTCAGTTGAAGTCTTTATCTTCCCAGCATTCTTGTCACTTCCAGCATAGGTGAGGAGAGGAGAAAGGCAAAAGCATGTTGCCACTGTCCCCTATTTTATATCCTCAGTCTGTGTGTCTGGAAAACACTAGCCCAGACACATCCCGGTGGGCTTTGCTAAGTCACAAATGAGCAATCCCCCATTGTGTGATGCTTGCACACAAGACCAATCTTATTTAATATTTTCATTAATGACAGCATAAAAAGTGCAGTGTGCTAATAAAATCTGCAGATGACACAAAGTTGGGAGGTACTGCCGATATGGAGGATGACCAGACTATTATGCAAGGAGATCTGGATGGCCTTAAACTTGAGTAATAGAAATGACATGCAATTTAATAGTACAAAGTGCAAGATCATGCCCTTAGGGCAGGGGTGGGAAAACTTTTTGGCCTGAGGGCCACATCTGGGTATGGAAATTGTATGGTGGGCCATGAATGCTCACAAAATTGGGGGTTTGGAGTGTGGGAGGGGCTTCGGACTGAGATGGAGGGTGGGTGGTATGTAGGGGGGTGAGGGCTTCGGTTCTGGGACCGAAGGGTTTGGGGTGCAGGAGGGTGCTCCGGGCTGGGACCGAGTGGTTCAGAAGGCGGGAGGGGGATCAGGGCTGGGGCAGAGGGTTGGGGCATGGGAGGAGGTCAGGGGTGCAGGCTCCAGGCAGCGCTTACCTCAAGCAGCTCCCGGAAGCAGCAGCATCTTCCCCCTCCAGCTCCTACGCGGAGGTGCGGCACCGGTCAGATGGCTCTGCACGCTGCCCCATCTGCAGGCACCGCCCCTGCAGCTCCCATTGGCCACGCTTCCTGGCCAATGGGAGCTGCAGAGCCAGTGTGTGGGGCAGGCGCAGTGTGTGGAGCCCCCTGGCTGCCCCTATGTGTAGGAGCCTGAGTAGGGACACGCCTCTGCTTCCGGGAGCCACACGGAGCAGGGCAAGCCCCCAACCCAGCTCCCCGGCTGCAGCGCCGGAGCAAGGCAAGCCCCCGACCCCACTCCCTGGTGGCAGCTCGAGGGCCGGATTAAAAGGTCTGACGGGGCAAACACTGCCTGCGGGCCATAGTTTGCCCAACCCTGCCTTAGGGGCTAACAACAAGAATTTTTGCTATGAGTCGGTGACTTATCAGTTAGACACAACAGAGAAGGAGAAAGACATTGGTGTACTGGTCAACTGCAGGATGACTATAAGCCACCAATGTGGTGCTGATGTGAAAAAGGCTAATGCATCCTAGAATGCATCAGACAAGGTACTTCCAGTAGAGATAAGGAAGAATTATCATCATTGTGTGAGGCACTGATGAGATCTCATCGAAATTCTGTGTACATTTATGTTCTCCCATGTTTAAGAAAGATGAATTCACACCGGCACAGATGCAGAAAAGGGTTACTAGGACAAATGGATGAATGGAGAACCTGCCTTACGAGAGGAGACTTACGGAGCTTGCCTTGTTCAGCCTAACAAAAGGAAGGCAGAAGGGCAATATGATTGATATTTATTCCTTTGATGTATTTATAGAGAGCAGAGAGGGAGAGGAGTTATATAAATTAAGGGCCAATGTTGGCACAAGAACAAATGGACATAAACTGGCCATCAATAAGTTTAGGCTTGAAATTAGACAAAGTTTTCTAACCACCAGAGGAGTGAAATTCTGGAACAGCCTCACAAGGGGAGCATTGCCTCACAAAATAGGCAAAAAAACAATTTTTTTCAAGACTGAGCTTGATAAGTTTATGGAGGGGATGGTATAATAAGGTTGCCTACAATGGCCATTTCTTGTTGCAGCAGGTGCTCGTGACAGGGGTCCCTGAAGAGAGATGGGACAGAGGGGTGGGTAGGTGGGATAGAAATAAAGGGGATGGAGTAACCCTTTTGGAAATCTCTAAAACCCATTTGTCTGTTGTGATGGTGTTCCAGATTGGATAAAATGGTGACAAGGCAGTCTCTGAACGGACAGGGACCATTTCTACTTCCAGAGTTAGCGAGTGTGGTGGTCTCGTGCCCTCGACCACACCATCAAAATTGTTGTCTGGAGGTGGGATTGTTGAGATGTTGAAGGTTGATCTTGGTTCTGCCGACGTCTGTTCTGTCTTTGTTTACACGGTTGGTCATACTGCCTGTGGGGTTGAGAATATGGTGTTGACCGGAATCTCTGATTGTAAAACCTGCCCTGTTTCTTTTTGTTTGCAGGTACATAAATGCACAGGGTTTTTAAAGTTGCCCTTGAGTCTTTTAGGGTTTGTAGTGACACATCAGTTTTGTCTGTGAATAGTTTTTGACCCTCGAAGAGTAAGTCATCGACCGTTGCCTGACCTCCCTCGGGAACCCGGAGAGATGGAGCCAAGATGCACGGTGCATGACCACAGATGTCGCAATGGATCATGCTAGCTGTGACTGCAGAATCCAGGGAGGCCTGTAGGGCCGTCCTGGTGATAAGAGACCCTTCGTAAATGATCGCCTTGTATTTTTTTTTGGTCATCTGGAAAATTTTCAATAAATTCGGACATTTTGGAGAACACATTGTGTGTGTATTTTGGCAGTAGGGCCACATAATTGGCTATGCGGAACTGAAATATAGCAGAGGAATAGGCTTTTTGTCCGAAAAGGTCTAACCTTTTCCAATTCCTATCATATGTGGTCGTTCTGGACTGGTGTCATTTTCCCCTTTTGGTTGACCGCCTCCACTATTAAAGAGTTTGGTGCGGGGTGTGTAGATAAAAACTCAGCCCCTTTAGCTGGCACATAGTATTTTTGGTCAGACCTCTTATATGAGGGTGGTGCTGTAGCCGGTGTCTGACAGATTATTTTTGTAGCCTCCATAATAGCATCATTAATTGGCAGGGCTATCTTTGCTGCTCGGGATGCCTGGAATATGTCTGTGAGATTATGTTGGGTTTTTGATAGTAGTTCTAACAAAAGGTCTAGAGATTCAGCTACCCTTTTGAAGAGGTCCTGAAAGGATTTGAAATCATCCCCCATAGTGGTGGGTGGTGGCATTATGGTTTTGTCCGGTGACGAAGATGAGAGGTGAGTAGGTGGCGAAGTATCATGTTCAGCTGTGTCCTCAGGTTCTTTAGTCTCTTTCTCTTGTGTTTCTGAGGGTGCTGGGACAGTTGGTGAAGGGGATCATGCTGTTCTGGACCTAGGCAGGCTAGAGTCCTGCGGTGTTGGGCCCTATACATTGCCCACAGATCCCAGCATGGCCAGTTAGGTGGGAATGGTATGGGGGGCAGTGCCCATGGGTGACCTTACCAGTCTCGAATATCTGCAGGTGGTTGGTGGTGAGATGGTCCAGGATTGGGCGAGGAGTGGCAAGGAGTATATATTACTGCATCATCCTCTTCTTCCTCATCACTGGAGATAGGAGGGACTAATCTACAAGGAGTATTCAGCTGAATTGGTACCGATCTGGATGGGATACCCTCGGTACCGAGTAGAGTAGATTCAGGCGTTGAGGCCACTATCAGGTCTGCATGTCTCATGAATTGCTGCAGAACCGTGAGGCTCGGTGCCGGGGACGGCATTATGGACGGCCCGGGAGTATGAGTTGCAGCTGCCGGTGCCAAGGATTTAGAGCTGTGCGGTATATGTACAGCAGGTGGTGCCATTGTACTGCTTGGTGCAGAGGTCTTCTTCGGCTCCGTGGGTGCAGAGCTGGAAGGTTTCACTTTACTGTGTGAAACTCCATTTGAGCTTGCCCACGTAGGGTCTTTAGTTCTTCGGGAACTCTCGGTGCTGGACATTCCCGGTACAGTCTGGCGATCTTGGTGCCGTCGGTAACGGGGAAGATTTTTCAGTTGCAGATTGTTTTCTCTTAGGCGATTCTCGGTGCAAGGATGTCTGCAACCACTTTTTGGTAGCCTTTCTTGGAACAGGCTCCTTGGCAGCCGTTGTTGAAGCAGAACCCCTGTCAGAGGCTGCCGCTGGCGACCGTTGGCCAGTGCGTGTCCTGGACTCGGGGTCCGAGGCTGGCCTGTGGGATTTCTCTATCACAAGGAGCTTAAGTTGGAGATCCCTGTTTTTTCTTGCCCTGGTTGTCAGCTTTCTGCAGTGTGGGCACTTCTGAGTAATGTATGTCTCGCCAAGGCAGCGGACACACTGTGTGGCCGTCAGAGACCAGTATGGAGAGTCTGCAAGTCAGGCAGGGTTTAAAATAGGTCAGCTGGGCATGCCTGAGAGAGTCGGTCTCTTAAAGAAAAAAAAAACAAAAAACAGGGATAAACCCTGTTTGAGGCTATAGCTGTCTGCCTGACAGAGAGACAGGAGTAGATAGGGAAGGTAAAAGGAAAAATATTGTTTTTTTGAATGAAAAATAAAAGAAATTATAGTAAGGCAAGGGGATACGGTAGCTAACTACAGCTAAACTAACACTATCAAGAAACAACTATGAACTATCTTCTGTTAATCCTATATGAGGTAAGAGGGGGAGCTGCTGATCGCTCCAACTCAAGACAAAGGCAGTAGAGAAGGAACTGAGGGACAGTTGGCTGCACATCGCTATGTAACCACTTGGAGCACCAACTGGGCACTGCTACCACAGATTTCCGATTACAAGCGCAGGGCATCAAGACACAAAGTAGAGCACCCACAGGGACACTCCTCGAAGAAGTAGAAATTTTTCCGTCAGCCCTGGAAACTCAGCTTAGGATCTGATAGACAAGCTGTGTTCTGTTTGGCTTATGCATCACCAGAAAAGTTTCTATATACCAAATTCTGCTCTAAGTGACACCTGCACAACCCAAATGGCCTTAGCAGAGTTCCATAGGTATCACGGAATGTAAGAGTTGACCCAGCAATTGCAAATGTATACAGTCAGCTATTCCATTGAAAATATATGAGCCAGAGAAATATTCAACATATTTATGGAAGAGTGAGCCACAGCTCTCCAGAGCTAGCAGGAATAAAAAGTAATTTCATATGCAGATGTGACTGAATACACAGTTTAGTAAAAACCATTTTTTACTTGGACATTAATCCTTTTGCCTTAGATTCCTCTGGAAGATGAGAATATTTATTTACTAATTTACAAGGATTAATATTTGTAATGAGACTTAAATATTAAAATATCTGTGTTCAGTGCTAAAATTATGTATTTAACATTAATAAAAATCAATCATTCTTAGTGGTCTGACTTTTCTTTCTCTTTTTTTTCCTGCTTACATATAAACTATAGATAGAGAGCAAGGCAAATAATGTGATGAATAGGAGAAACATAAGGAAGAAGATAGATAAACAGAGTAATAAAGTGTCCCTTAATCACATTATTAATCCCAACATGAAGTGTACACTAATTATCGTCAACGAAATCACCACTGCTGACATCTAGCCAAAATAATATTTTTTAAAATTATATCACTTATCCAACCATCCTTTTAACCTTGTCCCAGGGTCTACAGCCACACTCAGTAAGAGACATTGAATTTTTAATATAACACTCCAAAATCTAATGCCAATCCAGAACTTACTTCCATCACGTCTACCCTTGAATGCACTGTAACAGATTATCATGGGCCCAGATGTCTGAATTATGCACCAAGAGATGGGTCAGAAATAAAACTACTACCACACATTGAGTTAGGGGCATTATGAACTGAAGCGTCCCAGAGCTAAAGATGATTTGTCCTTGTAAACTTATTTTAAATTAGTTTTGCATTACAACTAGTATACATACATAAAATATTACAAATGTATGGTTTAGTAATTATTTTATTTGCTTTTTCATTTCTGACTATTCATCACTTCTTATAACTAATATTCCTTCTGTATACACAGACTATTTTATCCTATTGTATACTGCTTAAGACTAGAGTGTGTGAGCAGCTGTTTTAAGATTTTTTTTAATCTATAAAACCTGTGTCACATGTCCACAGAAGTTTTATTGTATCTGTCGTGTCTAGATATTATATATATGGTGTATAGTTTGTATGTCTGTATACCAACTGAAAACATACAGTCCCAACTAGAATATTAATGGCTTGATCAGCAACCCAGTCTTCTTCCTTATTCCAGAGGAATATTAGGCATAAGGTATAACTCTTCAATGGAATACATAAAAGCTTGAATTTCCATTAACACTGAAGTTTATATGTCTAATGTAATGTTCACGGCATTGAGAATATACCCATTCTTAATCCTTCATCTTTACAGGTTCATCAATGGTAACAATGAACAGTTCTGAACAAGAATGAACATCCAAGAATGTTAGTGACCTGCTAAATAAGTCTGAGTCATCTACCAAAACTAAGATAAATGGCAGATATCCTCAGTATCATAATCATCAAGGTTAGAACATAAAAGGTTTCCCTTCTCTGACAGTAAAGTGTTTTCTCTCTTTGTATGAATTATGACAAAATGAAGAATACTTACAATTTGGTCTCATAATCCTTCCAGGCTTTGTCAAAAGGCTTTTTAAGATCCTTAGGAAACAGAAAATGCACTTAAAATATGTTTATAAACACTTTTAAATTGTAAGTTTAAAACGAAGATATCATTTCAAAAATCATAAATGGCATTTTTAAGTCTTTTCTTTTAAATCTTTTCAAATATTCCTTTCTCACGGATCTTAAGACAGATATGAACCACACATTTTCCAAGTGGAATTTTAATCATGCATCTTCAATTATACTTAGCAGAATCCATGCAGATATAATGAGAATAAGTGCCAACATAAGAATCTGGATGCATGGATGGATAGTAAGAAATCTAGGCAACCCTGAAATGTTTCCCTGAAAGTACTCTAGGTTCGCTGAACACTTACCCCTTTAACTCCTTTCAAGTCTCCTTTTAAGAGAGAATCCAAAGTGAAGATAACATTGTGGCTTAAGCCCTGGAGCTAAGAAAATGAAGAAAAAAAAAAAAAGAAGAAGCACTAGTTGAGTTTAAAGAAACTTATAAATATCATGATTTAAACAAATATGCTGCACACATATTTTTGTTTCATTTCACTATCTAGTGTAGCTGAACCTGTGGCAAAAAAAAGTTCCACATTAATAGCAAATTCAGATCCATAAAGAGTTAATCAACATGTACATGGATGGAAACAGAAGCATTAAAAAAATATAGGAAACTTATGGACATTCAGGGAAACATGAAAAGTGAAATTAAAATTCACAGATGAAGGAGGTCCAGAAAACAGATCAAGGTAATTTTCAGTTTCCCTAACAAGCAATAGAACATTACTTGGGGAGCAATTTAAGAACATAAGAACAGCCATACTGGGTCAGACCAAAAGGTCCATCTAGCCCAGTATCTTGTCCGACAGTGGCCAATGCTAGGTGCCCCAGAAGGAATGAACAGAACAGGTAGTCATCAAGTGATCCATCCCGTCGCCCATTCCCAGCTTCTGGCAAACAGAGGCTAGGGACCCCATCCCTGCCCATATGCTGGCTTCTGGGTCAATAAGGCTTTTCTTACAGTTCACCAAACAACAAACAAAAGATATGGAGCAATTCTAGCTTATCAATTGTTGCTTTAAAAACAAAACAAAAATAAAACCAAAACTCAGACCTGAAGGTCATTAGCCAACTTGGGCTCCACAGGGCTGAAGGGAAAGTTCCACAAAATATAGCAAAAAGTGTATTTTAAGTTGGCATGTTTGTTAAGTTAAGGAAGTTTGAAAACAATATCCTAGAATGTGATTCTGGAGATGATCACAGCCTCTGAAAGATATGCCTGGGGGGGGGAAGGATCATGAACATGAGCTACTGTTTAGTTATTGATATCTTCTTCATCTAATACAGTTTGTCAGCATTCTTTCAAATCCCATCCTTCTTGTGACTCGCAGATATTAGAACTGATTATTATCCTTGAATTCAAAGTGGTTGCAATTCACATGACATACACTCAAGCATCCTGGAAGGAATTTCTTTACAATGGTCTTGAGTTATATGTCAGTAAAATGAAATACATACATTCTAGCTTTTCATATCCATACAAAAAGTTTGTCCTCACGTCACTAAAAGAAAATCATGAACAGCCATCATATCATCTTCAACTGCAATTGCATCAACTCTCCTAAGTAGCTTGGAGGTGGTTCAAAACTTGGAAGGGAGACCACACAGGAGTGAGACTAGTTATTCAATAAGTGGGATTCCTTCCCCAAAGCAGTAATGGAATTAATGTCTCAACATATTTTCTATTAAACAATACTGAGGCCCTTACTATTTGCAGTTATTAGAAAATACAAATATATTTACCCCATTCTCTTTAACAAATACCATTATGCGTAACTACCCATAAGTTTGTCTTTATCTGACACCATTTTTTAAGTTCTATTGTATAGTCTGTATATGTTTCAGTCTACGAACAGAATAGTCATCCATCAGCTCAAATTTTTTTTAAGACATGTACCCAATTGCAAGTACTATTTTGACTGTGCATACTATACTTGCACACAAATTGCTAAATGCAGAAAATATTCATTCACATTTACAAATCCCACAATGATGTATACAATCACAATAAATGTTTGGACAAATTATTTGCACACCTGTTTTTAAACTCGGAGTCTATTTACTGGCTGTTTTACAAACTTTGTCTAATAAAATTGTACAGATATTTAACAGTTTGGCTATAATATTACCTGCTCAAACTATCTTAAAGATGTGTCTACATGAATGTTAAGGGGGATTTTCAATCAAATTAATTTAACTGAAAAATAAATCTTTTAGCCTGTGTAGACGAGGCCTTTCTAACAGGATAAACAGCCATATCAAAACATTAATATTTGAGTAATGAACTAACATGCTCACAGAGTCTTCAAATTTAGAAGGTTACATCGTTAAGTTGGGTTTGGAGGGAAAATAATTTCTTATTTTAATGGAGTCCTTTTACCATTATCCTTAGGGGAGATCGTGTGGGGATCAGAAAATATCTGAGTGTTGATTATGAAACAAAGTTAGCAGTTACCAGCCAACTTCCCTTCCATAAATAGAACAAATTTAGGCATTCTTAATCAGTGCCTCTGACCTCCGGGATATGTAAAGGTGGACATTTCCCAGCTCCAAGAAAGCATGACACGAATACCATCAAATTCATTGGGGTGTGTCAAAGCTACTGCTATAATTTCCCATAAAAACCAGCACATTGAATTTTCTGAACTTTACACCATCTTCAGACATGAAGATGCATAAAAAGAGACCCTAATAATATACCTTTCAACCAAAATAAAATTAAATCTGAACAGGCATCTGTCTCCTTGAATTATGTCAAAAGATTAATAGGACTACTGAATTGGAAACATTAAGAATCCAACAATAAAAATCTTGCACAGAAAAATGTCCGTTTAAGTCAGTAATTCTCTGTACCCAATGATTCTGTGTCTGCATCTTAAGCTAATGCTTCTTGCTTCTTCTACTGTGCAAATGCCTGTCCTTCACTCTCACTACAAAAGAATGTGTTTGGCTGTCAAAGCATTTACTCATGAAGTGTAAATGTTTCCCCACATGCACAGACACCAAAGATTTGGGGTAACAAGCACAAAAAATTGTCAGGCAAGAGTCCTCACCGTGCCATTTTGCAACACTAAAGTTCCAGCTGTTCATTACTTATTATCAAAGACTCTCTGTACTATTCCTGAATATCTAACAGTTCTCTGGATTCCATTCCCTACTATGCCTTTTCTCCAGGAAGTTTCATGAAGAATGAAAAACAAAACCAGATAGCCAGTCTCCCCTCCCCCCAAAACAAAGTTGTTAAATAATAGAAGGATTTTCTGGTCCTCACTTTAAGAGTTTCTGAGAAACTGTACTAGCAGGTGTATTTGTGAGAAAACATCCAACAAGTTTTACTGTGTTAGAGTTCATCATCTTTATAAGGCTGCAAATATAACTACCCAGAACAGGTATTTGTCCAGGTGGGAAACCAATTTCCATATTGTGGCTTTTGTGTATTTGTAAATAAAAAGCAGAAATTAAGTTATTTGAGCAGCCGCATTTTTGAGATTCAGGAGTCCAATTTCCGAGCTCATCAAACACTGATTTAAGAAGCAATTAAAATTAATTTAGCACAGACACTGGCATGGGTGGGAATTAAAGTAGACTTTTCCAGATTTACCTGAAGAACCAAGGCACAGAGGAAATCAAGCCAGGAAAGGATAGCCATCTGCACTTCTTGATATGACCATCCCATGAGCAATCAGTTGTCGAGGTAAGGGAAAACTGGGTTGCTTTGGTGACGTAGGTACACCGTTGCCACAGAAAGTACCTTTGTGAAAATGTTCTAGACCCACTATGAAGCTCAGGTAGCTCCTGTGTTCTGAATGAAAGTCTATATGAAAATCCATGTCCTTCAGATCGAGAGCTGCAAACCAGTTGTCTTTATTTAGGGAGGGTATTACAGAGGCTAAGATGGTCATCCTGAATCTTGAATGTCATATGAAGATATTTAACTAACTGAGATCCAGGATCTCCAATCTCCATTTTTGGGGGGGATGAGGAAGTATCTGGAATAGAAGCCCTTTCCTCTGTGTTGAGGAGTCACAGATTTTATCGCCCCTAACTGTATCAGGAAATCCACCTCCTATCTGAGGATCCTCTCTTGAGAGGGGTCTCTGAAGAGAGATGGAGAGGAGAGCTTGGAGGGAAAGGGCATAAATTCTATTGTGTAGCTTTGTCATCTAGGACTCATTTGTGTGATGTGATATGCTGCCACATCAGAAAGAAATGGGATAGGCGGTCACTGAAAGGTAATGGAGATCCGGCAACATGGAGACTGGTTGGCAGCTCTTGAGAGTCCAGTCAAAATGATTATTTGGCTGGAGGCTGGGACTGGGAATGAAGTGGCGGTGAGGTGTTCTGTCTGCTGCACTGTACCCTCTGGGCTCGCTTCTAGGTGTCTCATAGGCCCTTTGATGGTAAAAGGGCTGAAAAGCAGGATAGTACCTATAAGAAGGAAATTTGGAGTACTTCCTCCAACGCACAAGAGTGTATATCACCAAGGAGAAAGGGGTTGCAGGGAGTCCTTTAGTGAGTAAATGGAGGAGTCACTTCATACACTTAATAGACTGTTGACCTCAAAGGGAAGATCCTCTACCATTTCCTCGACCTCACTGGGAAGCCCCAGAAGTGCAACCATGAAGCCTATCTCATGACAACCGAAGTCACCATGGAATGCGAAGCCATATCTGCTGTGTCCAATGACCCTTGGAAGGATAATCGGGCAATCAATTTCCCTTTGTCCAGGATGGCCTGGAACTGATCTGAGCTCCTCCTGTTAGCAAATTCAGACAATTTGTTATAGTTAAAATCATACTTAGACATCAGGACCTGATAATTTGCTACGCAAAATTGCAGACTGGTGGATGAAAAACTTTACCAAAGAGATCTAGTCTCTTGGTATCCTTGTTCGAGGAAGCAGACCTAGACTGGTGCAGCCTGTTGCATTGCTTGACAGCCTGGACCACTAGAGAGTTTGGGCCGGGTTAAGAAAACAAATATTCCTTCCCCTTTGATGGTACTAAGTACTTTTTCTCTGTCCTTTTCAGAGTTAGAATAAAGATGGCTGCGCTAAGCCAAACTGCTTTGGTGGGTTCTGATAAGGCAATTGTGACGTTGCACTCCATATGTTTTATGGAAATATGCTTATGAGTGTGAATATGATGTAACTGGAATATGCTTTATGCAAAAAGGTTTCTTGTAAGGTATCATTACAAAGGTTATAACCTACTGAATATATTCCTCTTATTTGTATGCACATATCATTCTTGTATCTGAAGCTAGAAATATGAAGTATAACTCTGAGGTCCTATTGTAATTATGCAAAGTATGGGCCCTTAATGGTGGTTTAGAATCTTGATGGCTACCATTGACTATGACAATTGGTTGTAGATGGTTTATTTACCTGCAAACCTTCCTGGGTACGTGCGGGCCAGCCCTGGAAGAATGGAGGCTGGGGTCTCACAGGACATGTGAACATGTCACATGATACTGGAGTTAGAGGGTGTCCAGGAGACCCTGGAACCTCTGTTGGGATTCATCTTGTGCCTTGGAACTGTCAGAAAAATTGGTGCCTCAGCACCAATATGAAACATGAATCCTCCGATTCTACCAGTAGAACCGACAGTACTGTCTGTCTTGTGATGCCATGGTGGTGAACAGGACTGGCGAACAGCACACAGATGGTGTACCCGTGTCCATGCCATGACTGGTAGATGGGACCAGTAAAAATAATGTGTCATTAGTGTAAGAATCTCATTGGACACTAGCAGATCCAATAGTATCAGCGACTCTGGGTCGGTGTAAATCACCAGGTCCTCAAGGAAGGAACACGCAGACCTAGTGGATGTAGAGCCGGAGGGGATCCTGGCTCTGGGTGGAGCTGACAATGAGGACTTGGGTTGGTCAGGGGAGCATCGATACTGTCAAGTCATTCTTTTTGCAGTGCAGTACTGTCAGTAAATGAGATTGTTACCTTCTCAACTCACTGATGCATGGGCTAGTTCTGAGAAGGTGCAGAACACAGGTGCATAATATGTATAATAATATACATATTATATATATATATAATATGCTAAAATCTTAAGAATAAGAAGAGATTAGAAAACAGCAAATTATTTAAGATGACTGAAGAAGTCTCTTTATTATTCTCTCAGAAAAAGTGATTTGAAAATACAAAGTACTATATAAGTGCTATATAAACTGTGCTCTTTATGCTTCTGGTCCTCAAGAAAGACTTGTATTTCACTATCTTTTTTCCAAGAGAGATTGTTTTATAACTAACACAGCATAAATGTTCCAACTCAAAGTTTAATGGTATTAGATACATTGGTGGAAATCAGATTCAGTGTTATCTGGACTTTTTTGAAAAGAAAAGAAAAGAAAAGTTGCTTCCCACAAAGTTAACCATAACTTTCACTTTTACTGCTACTGCTTATGATTGCATTTTGCAACTTTGGAAATTATTTATTATACTAAGATATACTTCTTCAGAATTGGAGATTGCAAACATACACGTAAATATTTAGAAGCATTCAGCAGCTAGCAAATTCTTTGAATATTTTTCAGAATTAACTTCAATAGAAACAACTCAGGTAATTCATGCTGAGAAGTCTTACCAGAAAAAAATTAATGTAGTTTGACTTCCTGTGTATCATAATCCATACAGTTTTACCCAGTTACTCCTGTATTGAGCTCAATAACTTGTGTAACTAAATTAGCAGGATTTCCACATATATTTAAATTAGGGAAAGAAACATTTTAATCAGCTCCTTTCTTTCCCCCTCTGCATATCTCTTTAATCTTCTATTCAATCTCATATTCTAAATGTCTTGACAAATAAAATTTCTTGTTAATGACTTTTATCTTTATCATTTGATAAATGCTGATTTTTTTTATCATTTCTTTTACCTTTATTTACCCAATATATAAATTTAATTATTTTAGTTTTCTTCCTTGTTTCTGCACCTGCATCACTCATAATGACAGCAATTCCCAGGGGACACAATGTGAGCTAACTGTTAGAGTTGGGTTAGCAGATGGCACTTATACCACATTTTTTGTGACTACTGTTAATTGCAATGGTGGATTTCTAGTTTTTATTGAGATCAGGATTATATTACTTGACAGAAAATATAACCTATGAAAATATAACAGTCCTATTTGGCAGTGTCCTATGAAAAATATGTCAAAATACAAGAAAAAAAATCTGAAGTTCTAAACTGAAAAATATATTTAATTATATTAATGGAACAGTTATATAAAACTAGCTCCCTAACTAAAATATTATTAAAAACAAGAGCTGCTTAGCAAGTCTTGTAGTTCACATATCTTGAAGAAACAAGCATGATAACACTTCCATGTTATCTCATCCTAATTGTGGACTTTAATGGGGAGTGAAGAGAGTGTATGAGTGCAAGAGAAAGTTCTACAGAGACTAAAGACCAAGTATATTGATCTATCCATATTCTCAAAACTATAAGAGAATCCTGTTACTTATGAATAGGGCTTTTCCAAATTCATGGTCCATTTTGTTCAATTTCACAGTCAAAGGCTTTTAAAAATGGTCAATTCCATGCTTTTAGATATTTACATCTGAAATTTCATGGTGTTATAACCATGGGAGTCCTGACCCAAAAGAGGCCGTGGAGGAGGTTGCGAGGCTCTTGTAGTGAGGTTGCAGTATTGCCACCCTTACTTCTGCGCTACTGCTGACAGGGGCACTGCCTTCAGAGCTGGGCAGCCGGAGAGCAGTGGGCAGTGGAGACATGAGGGTCGCATGGTATGGGGGGAGGGTCATCACTTTTTGGGGTTAGCAGGGCCAGCCTTATGGGTGGGTGACCGCCCATGACCCCATGGTCAGGGGGCGCTGTGGTTAACCTCCCCCCAGCCAGCCTGAGGCCCCATTAACCCCAGAGCGCTTCCCCAGAGTCATTGGGGTGGGAGTAGGGGGGTTAGGTTATCATGTCACAACTTAAGACATAAAACTTGTGGTGGATGTCCAGTGCAGGGATAGTTATCAGATAAAATGAACTGGAGAAGAGTTTGAAGGAGAGCATCCCTTCTTGAAGCTGAAAAAGTGGGGTTTGGGGCTCTGGGCTCCTAGGTCTCGTCAGAGGGGAACCAACCACACTCCTTTTCCTGGTCCCCCGTTAAGAGAGCTGAGGAAGAGGGTTTGGGGCTTCTCTGTCTGGATCAGCAAGGAGCTGACCCCCGCCTCCCCACACTGTACAATTTGTTGCTGGGCACCCCCAGATATTATAAGTGAACAAATCTATGGTCGAATTAAACCACATCCATGGCGTCCTGTCTTTCTTCCAGCATGGACAGACAAATGAGAGATGTTGATTTGCAGAGAAGTCAGATAGGATTCTGATTTTCTTTGAAGTGAGTGGTTCTCTGCCAAGAACCTATATTTTAAATGGACCTGCTAGCAAAGAAGTGAGTGGTTTAACTTTTTTGCAAATTGACTTAGTTTCTGGAATAAGAAAATTTTAACCATTAGTATTATTATTTTAAACAGCCAGGTTTATAGACAGAAATTCTGACAGATCTAGCCTTCTTTAGGATTTCTATACAGACCCCCGTAGGAATTATAGAGGATTGTAGGATTCTTCCAGTCACTTAATTGTGCATCAATTCACACTTTCATCATTCCATCTGACTAGACATTACCATAATCAAATACAGTATGTGTAATATGTATCTTATTCTTTCCAACTGTTTTTGAAGTGTAACTGTAATTGAGGTTATTTCTGTAGTACACGTACACTGATTTCAGTTTTAAATTAGCTGATTTGTTTACAAGACAACATTCTGATGAATATTTATATAGTTAATCAAATCATCAGGAAAATAAAGGTGCTTTATTGTACTTTGTTTTGAATCATTTTATAAAAATAACGCGTATAAAACTCCTTACCAGGTTTTTCAGCAGCGTTGATAATTCCTTAGTAAGTGTTGAAAATTTAACAAAAGCAGTGCCAAGATCTGGGTTATCCCGACTTAAAAAATTACTTCCAAATTTATCTAATACTTGTGCATAGTTCTCTTCATTTTGAACATGATCTGAAAAGAGAGGTTCAAAATTAGCAAGTTTCTTTCCTATAACTATCTATTTTAAATCTATACTTTACTACAGAGTATTAATGAAACCAAACTGGTGAATTCACAAATCAGTACCACTGTGTCAAGAAAAACAAATTACTGCATTTACTGAAAACTGGTTATTTTAAAATTAAAATTAACATATAGTCGGAAGTTATTTTTATGTCACCATCTGAATTTAAGGTCACATGTAATGACAATCAATGAAATACAAAATTTATCAATGATTAATAAAGTAATATAACTGAGAAAAGTATGATAAAAAGCTATTTAAGTGGGAACATTAGCTTGTTTTTCAGAAAGTATAAATATCTTCTTTTTTTGTGATGTATTGAAATTTACTTGGGAATAAAAATCAAAATGAAGTTGTAGCTACTACTATTAATAGGAGAATGTTTAATTACAAACCAAACCATGAAGTCAATAGTATTAGAGGTATAAATATGGGATATATTTGACCCCCAATCTGTAGATTAAGCAGAAGAAACGGCCCTCATGTTTTGTATTATTCATAATAGAATGTTAGAATTTATTTTTCTAACTGTAGAGATAAGATCTCAATGGAAAAAAAAATATATTACTACATATCCATGAGGAATGTTATATTTTCATTTTGAAACACTAATTGCAAATCAAGGATATCAAGATGCTTAGACAATTTTGAAATGACCATGTTTTGATGTCAGAACCAAACTATGAAGCTAATCTATAGTTAAAGAAAATTATGAATAAAATCCTAAAATCCTAAAGAAGAAGGAGATTCTGAATTAAGAACCATCACTGTGTATTAACACATTTTCTATTTCTTTTCTCTTCCTCTTTCCTCTTTTTCTGGCATCTCTCTGCCCTTCTTTCTGCTTGTTTGTGTCTCCCATTTAAGTACCACTGTCGAGGAAAAACTCTCACTATGTGCCCTTTAGGGTAGCCTTCCAACTACCCAGACAACACAAACTACTATATCAAACATGAACAAGTAATAGTGTTGAAAAGGAATACCTTGGTATACCAGTGCATGCAGAAGGGCAGGTTAAGGGGGCAGAGTTAAGACTGAAGTATATGGTTTGTGATGTATGGTAGCTAGGATAGCGTGTGTCTGTGGGTAACTTAAGTTTTAATTTCCTTGATTTTGTGGTTTTGAGTAAGGTTGTGATGAGTGTTCTGAGCCTGATGAGTCATTTAAGATAATTACCTGAGTCCTAAGGGCCCAGCCAATCCACAAGCAAGGGTCTAGCCAGGTGACTCCAATGCAGGTATACAGGCTCCTAATGAAAGGAGCAACTCCAGTATGCTCAACATTGTTACCTTGTTGGGGATACTCTACTTGCTACTTCTGACAGAGTACTCCTGCTCGCCTCTGCCCCTATTCCAGCTTGCTCCTGCCTCAGCTCCTGTTCCAGCCACAATTGATGGCCTGGCTGTCCTGATACACATATGGTATGTGTAGCAATCTTAACTGTTTCCCAACAGTGTTTTGTAAATTAACATATACAATCTCATACACCTTAAACTATTTCTGCTGTGAGAAAGTTTAAATGATTTGCTTGGAGCAGTTCCGGAGAAGATCTTTAGTCCGCTATTATTCAATTCTATATTCTTTTATTGCCCTCATCAACAAAACAGCTGAGCACCTTCAGGAATGCATAAAGCAAGATGACTAACATCTGTGACGTGGTTCATTCTCTCTCATCCTTTCTAGAGGGGGAGAATTGTATGCGCTGTGGAGAGTTTTGTTTGGGAAGACTTTTCTCTTTCTCATGCTTTTTAAAAAATGTGTATATTGCTGTGTGTTTATGTTTCAAAGAGCAAGGTAAAAGAAGTGCACCCTGCACTTGGAGCAGAAGGTGGCAAGGTATGTGATGGCCCTCTGTTCAGGTGGAAGTTTATTTCACAGTCTGGGACTGGCCATGACAAATCTGTCTCCTGCACAGAGTTTTAAGTGATCTTTTAGATATCCTGGGCCCAGGCTACTAAGTGCCTTTTAAACACAGATGGAGACTTTGAAGGATAGGTTAACATGCGCTCACAGTAGTTTGTCTTGCTAAGTAAGTGTACTGTAGCATTCTGTACTAGCAGGAGTTCCAAGGGCCAATGGTTTCACTCCCAGGTATAATGCATTGCTGTAATCCAGATGAGAAGGGCAAAAACATATATAACCAAGGCCGGGTCATTGTCAGTCAGGATGGGTGGGATGTAGTTTCCTGGACAACCAGAAACACTATTTGTGGATGCTGCAAGGAGAGAGCTTAGCATCAAAGAGAAATCTAAAAGCACTCACGAACTACAGATTGAGCTGACCAATTATGGGTGTTTATCTTCAACAAAAGGAGCCTGTACCATGACTGAAAAATAATCAAAGTCCCTTCCTCTTCCCACCAGCATATCCCCCATCTTTCTCAGTTTCCACCAGGTCTTCTTCATCCATGAATGGATCTCATCCAAGCACTGGGCCATCTTGCTAGTAATTGCATTGTCACAGACAGTAAAGGATAATTAGAGCTCTATCATCTGCATATTGCTACCATTGAGTCCATGTCATTTTACCAGTTAATCTAGTGGCTGCGTGCAGATGTTGAACAGGACCAGCAAAAAAACTGATCCTTCTGGAATTCTACAAGCGAGAGGTCTAGTGACAAAGGTGCAGTCTCCCATTTCTACTTTTCGGGCATGAAAGGACTTAAAACTATTTTAGAGCCTTCTACTGACTCCTTTCTCAGACAAGACAACAATATCTACAGGTCAAGAGAAGGATGAGAACAGATGTCTACCCTCCATCCATTGACAGCAGGAGATCATCCATCAGTGCCACTAAGGATGTTTTAATCCCACATCCTGACCTGAATTCAAATTATGCTGGGGCTAGGATATTGCCTTTAATCAGAAGAGCTTGTAGTTAGTCCCAGGCTAACTTCTCTATAACCTTGCTCAGGAACAGAAGTTTTTTTAATTGGGCAATAGTTAGAACAGATGTATCCAGGGTGGGTTTCTCCAGTGTTGGTCAGACTATTGTACTCTGGAAAAAAATGGAAGAGAAGATTACTTCCCTGAAAGGAAATGGCTATTTCAGTTATGAGTGGCACCAGCTGCTTATGACTCTCTTTCACCAGCCAGGAAGGGCATGATTCACACGTCTTAGGTTCAGATTCTTTCGAAGTATCCGATACTTCTTGAGAAGCAAATGTATTTAAACTCTGAGAATACAGCTACACTAACTTGTGTGTGTTTTTTCTGTTTTTGTTTTTTATTTTTTAAACATCTTTAAGAGTCCAATCCTGTAAGTCTAATGTTCTTCCAACAATGTTTAATTTTTTCCTCATTTGCAATTGTGGTAATGACACATCTCACTAAGCTCCTCTTCTGTCTTTTTGTATTACTTACTCCTGAGTGAATTCTGTGCCAAAAAATAAAAATTCTGTGCATAATATTTTAAAATTCTGCAAAATTCTACAAATTCTGCTCATTGGGGGTTTCAAGGTGCAGGAATAATGGGCCTCTGCAGGGAGATCTAGGTAAAGTTGGTTGGGGCTCAGCAGTGGGGGTTCGGGTGCTGGGGGAGTGGGGCTTGGTGGGGGGGGTAAGTGCGGTGTGGGTGCAGGGAGCTCATCAGGGTGGTCCAGGTGTGGGAGGCAGTGGGGCTTGTCGGGGTGGGGGTTCAAGTGCGGGGGGTGATTTGGGTGCATGGGGGCTCTGGCTATGGGGGGCTGCAGGGTGCCCGTACAGTAACCCTTCCCCCCATGGCTGAGGAGCAATGGAGGCAGGAAGTGGTGGAGCTGCGCAGAGCTTGCTGCAGCCAGGAGAGCTTTCTGGGGTGGGTTTGACCCAGTCCCAGCTGCTCAGTGCAGAGGAAGAATTCGTCCCATCCTCCCCAGACCAGCCAGAACTAGAAGCAGAGCCCAACGTACGATAGGAGCCACCAGCCAGGGCGTCTCCTGCGCCCCGCCACGGTGATTTACTGTCCTGCCAGCTGCTCCGGATGCCCGAAATGGTGCACCTGCGCTGCTGGGGAGGGTGTGTGACCACTCTGGTGGCTTCCCTTTGTTACCCTGTCAGAAGTCATTTTTCTGTGGAAAGCAAAGAAATCAGTGGCGCAGAATTCCCTCAGGAGTAATTACTTTAAGCCTCCAATACTGGATTGTTCAACATTTCTTTATTAGGTTCCCATCCTTACCATGTTTGAGGCTTTAAAAACCCCACACACATTATAGACATACCTCCCAGAATTAATTTTCCCTAGTGGGAGAGATCGGGCTATAAATGCCAACAGGAATTGTGTTTACTTCAGGTAGTAGTACGAGTATCATTTTCTCCAAGTTGTAATTTTTGTCTGACAGTATTTGAATTACAGAAAATAAAGAATCACCATTTAATTTCAGATATAAAGTTGAAATCTTCGGGTACTGGAAAATACTATTTTTCTGTTGACTTCCACACTTTACTTTTAAAACCATGAATTTCACCACAATCCATGTGCATTATCCCATGATGCATGAATCATCTTAGACACTAAAAAAACTTGGCAGAAAGCCTCAAGAGAATTACACTTCCAAACCCTTTAAAAAAATCTGCCAAGTACTAAGTTCCACTACAACCAGAAGAGAAAACCAAATGTCTTTTCTTAAACTCAGATCAAAATTATGAAATTGCTCATGATCTTTTAACCGTATTTTGGAAATAAAATTTTACAGTGTATATATGCAATTAATTTACATACCATTGTCCTACTTATTGCAAACACAAAAATTAATGTCAAATGCCCAAAGTTTTCAGTCATATGATGTTGTGGATTGACAAATAGTAAAATATGTTCTTAATAAGACTACATCTGTTCTAAAAGCTTATGCTTTTAATCAACTATCTTGGCATAAAAACCAAAGAAATCATTATGCAATAATAAAATGCGTATTTTTAATGTAAAAGTTATTCTGTAAATATGCACAAGAGATCTCAGCTAGGGAAGAGTATTA